ACTATTAGTCTCTAGGAAGACTGCTTTTCTCCTAGCCATGGCTACGGTGGCTCGTGTATCAGAATTACACGCTATTGACATTTCCACTGTAACTCATACCCAAGAATGGAAAACAGTGTCGTTCAGATCGCTCACAGAATTTATTGCCAAAAACCAGTCGTCAACCTTCGGCCCACTCGGACACAGGCAATACACAATACCAGCCTTAAGTACTTTATTTTTATTCTTTATTTCTTTATTCAATGTACTGAGGAGGCCACAGGCATATAGTACAATCATGATTACAGGAGCAATTGGTACAATCATATAATTTCCAAACTTGATTTTCTTTGTATAAAAGCATGATATATGTACATAGAAAGATTTCTTATGGTTTCAGTGTTGCTAGTGGTCAGTAATAGTTTAAACTTAAATGTACAATGGTTTATAAAAATATTTTGGTAAATATACTTTTCTTAGTTCATCATAATGCGGACATACTAGTAAAAAGTGATACTCGTCCTCAGTTAATCCTAGGTCACACAGTGGGCAGAGTCTATTTTCTCTCGGAATATTTGGATATCTACCTTTTTCAATTAAATGATCGTGTGATGAACATCGGAATCTTAAGTAAAAGTGTGGACTATCCGGACAGATTTCTTTGTCCCATAAGAGCCTTGAGATACTTCATTACAGCAACTCAACCCCACAGAAAGCAGAGAAAAAGCCTTTTTATCTCTTGCAAACCCTCGTCAGAAAAGGACATAACAAAGGGTACTGTAGCGGGATGGCTCAAATCGGTTATCGCAGATAGCTATAAACTGGAAACAGGTCTCCATGTCAACTTGGGGAAACTGCAGGCCTCACGAGATCAGAGCCCTTGCAACAAGTCTAGCCACATGGAATACAGTATCAATTGAACAAGTCGTAGCTAGCTGCCAGTGGAAGTCCCATAACACGTTCTCAAACTTTTACTTACGAGACATACAGACCGATCTGGATGGACTATACACACTGGGACCCTTGGTGGCAGCCCAGGTGATAGTCTCCAAGTAACCTTGTTCCCCCCCTCTGCCAGAAAGGGGAAAAAGTGGTGTGGGTGGGTGTGTGTGTGTGAAGATTTCAGAATACCTCATGAACTCAGGGTAAGTTGACCTTTGTACTGGGTTGTACTATTGAATTAGTAAACAAGGTAAGTGGCAACACTGAAATCAGAGATCGAAGGATTAAGTGATATACGGTATCTACATGATAATCTAGGATGTATCTATGTACTACCACCGGAAGTGACGTCATGGGAGACATCGCACCGGACTAACGTCAAAATACGTTAAATATCACTATCCAAAAGGGCATAACGGAAAACCACGTCATAAGTGATAAGAGATCATAGAAGACATATACCACAAGTGGGCATGGAATGACAACCGGAAGTGATGTCACAGATGACGTCATCACCGGAAGTGACGTCATAATATGTCTAAGTATCACAGTGGTGGATATATACACGGATATTATACCCATTATATGACGTTTGAAATTTCTCTATGTTTAGCCTTGTAAGTAGACTATTAGACATATTCCGTTTGAGCTCCTTTTGGCATATAATCCTTGAGTTACCACTTCACAAAGCCAATATCTAAGGGATGCTAGATACCAGAACCCACCGGTCCCTCTGGTGTATACTGGCAATGATGTAATAGACGTAAGGTATTCACAAGAATTATCAAACAATAGTTATCATTGTGAATAATTCTAAGAATACTACCTCTATTATATCAGGAATTAATCCCTCCCACCTCCCCAAATATCTGCAACTACATGATGAGGATAGTGGGTTGAAAGAAGTGAGGAGATTCCCGTCTTGCGCATGCGCAGTGGCGCCCCTGGCGAGGGATAGGGTTTCCCTCACAACTATTAGATATGTTGGCAGTGAAGAGGACGTCTGTTGAAAATTTATCAAAAATTTATAGTGTGGTTCTTAGCATAAACAGGAATTTATGGCAGTGATGTAATAGAGGTAGTATTCTTAGAATTATTCACAATGATAACTATTGTTTGATGACTGTAAATAACTAACCAACTATGCAAGGCGCATGTTCAGCTAGTTTGAATGGTCGGTGATGAAGGTACATATGTGGCGGTGACTGAATTATTTTTTACTGTCTCTCATAAATATCAAAGGTAAATTACAGAAAATGGAAATAATAACTGAGAACTTAAAACTTTTTAGAATTTAAGAGGGCAAGTGAAAATGTTGCAGGACAAGTACAACATAATGGCTACTTGCCCTGCAGGACAAGTTGGGTTTAAGACATTTTTCGAGGCCTGCAGATATAAACAATGTATTTTTCTTTGTAATGGGACACAAGAGATAGTGTCAACTCAGAAATACATGTGCAGCCTGTTTTCTTCTTAAAAGGGGTATGAGGGATTTATTCTCCCTCTCAGAAGTTAATTTCCATCTCATTTGGAATACACAGTAATTTATTAAGATCACATGAACCAATCCAACTGCTCTCCCTGACAAACATTGCGAAATTTCACCTGATTTGTGCACTGTGCACATGTCCATATGCCACCATCATCAGTTTCACAATCTGTTTATTCAACTTTGGCATGCCTTTGGTACGCGGGGGAAGCTGACATCATCACATGAACTCCATCTACCAAGATATGGAACATATACTGAACCAATTTAAAAACTTCACAATCCTAAAATTTTAACATTTTGACCAGTTATCATTGTGGGCCCTTATTGTGTATTTAAACAGTAATGGCCAGTATATTGTCTTCAGATAACACCCGTTTTTGTGCAAGTGAATCGATCAAAATCATATGCACAGCACTATAGTGGCAAAAGTTGTTTTTCACGTGCAACTGGTCATGTGGCCATAATACTGAACGTGTTTTCAGCCATACTTGTTAGCAGTCATTAACAAAAAAAGAAAAACACAATGAAACAAAAGTCTTTACGGCCATTTGTCATACCACGCCTTTCAAAAGTGCAACATGAACGTGCCATCGGCATGTTGCAGACAGGAACGTCCGTAGCTGAAGTCGCAAGGACAATGGGTTGCAGTCGACGGACTGTTTATGATTTACAGACGCGTCTACAGCAAACAGGTACCACAGCTGAATGCCCTCGGCCAGGTCGACCACGTGTGACGTCATATGCAGAGGATCGTCAGATTGTCTTATGTCACCTCCGTAACCGATTTTTGACGGCTACATCAAACCAGAAATGAACTGTTTAGGGGTAGACTGAGTGCGCAAACTGTTCGAAACCGTCTGAGAACTGCTCACCTTCAAACACGACGGCCATACTGCGGGCTGATTCTGACTCAATTACACAGATGTCAACTTCAATTGTGGACACAGCGACACTTATGATGGACTCAGAGGAATTGGAATCAAGTCGTCTTCAGTGATGAATCCTGATTTAATCTTCGATTTGCTGATGGTAGGGCGAGGGTGTGGAGGCGCCGTCATGAACGTTACGCCCAGTGTTGTGTACAGGAAGTTGACAGATTTCGAGGCGGAAGTGTCATGGTGTGGGGTGCTTTCTGTGGCAATGCACGTTCCAGGCTTCTTGTCATCCGTGGCAACCTCAACGCTGCTGCTTACCGCAACCAGGTACTGGCACCAGAACTTCTGCCTTTTATGGCAGCACATGGACCCGGTTTGATCTTCCAACACAACAATGCCAGACCCCACACAGCAATTTTGACAAGAATGCGGGAGTCAACGTCATGGACTGGCCATCAAGGTCTCCCGACCTCAATTCCATCGAACACATCTGGGATACTCTTGGCAGAAGTCTGCGCACTCTCCAGAACCAACCACAGAATTTGCAAGATCTTGGCACCATTTTGCAGCAACAATGGCGTCGTCTTCTCAATCATGTGTTCACAAGCATCACAAGGTCCATGGGGAGGCGTTGTGTGGCAGTTGTCAACGCACATGGTGGCCATACATGCCACTGAACTTGTGTGCCATCAGATTCTCGTGCTTGGACTTATGATTTAAACTGTTGATGTTATTACCAAATACCGTAGGTGCTTGGAAAAAATTATGGTTACCACCGTTAATTGAACTCCTTCTTTGGACATTAATGATTAAAAATTACCTTCTCTGATACATTTGTCCGTTGTATATCATATATTGGATTACTTTTAAAAATGTGAAGTTTTTAATTTGACTCATATTTTCAAGCTGATAGTTCAAACAGAGGCAATTGCAGTGACAGAAAGATTCAGATGCGCCTTGTAGGATAGTACCACAACAATTGGACAAAATCTGTCAGGACTAAAGAAGATGTGAATAAAGATGGTGCTAAACCTGCCACCATAGTGGAAAGCCCTTACCCAACAAACTGTTACTTTCAACTGTTGTCATTCAAGATGGTGGAGCCCAGTGAGTGATTGCCAGGGTTACTTGTTTGCTGCTCTGATGCAATGTTAAGTTTGAGCTCACTCACTTGTTGGCTGGAAAGTAATGTTGTGTGTGTGAATGTATTTGTGATGTTTCTAGGCGAAGGCCATTTGACGTTAGTCTTGATAAGAGTGCTGTCATGTGTGCATATTCATGTCTGTAAGTAATAGATAAACAACATTGACACAAGACATTGTTTTATCATAACTGTTTTATTCTCATCTAACATTATGAATCCAATCTACCAAGTCAGCATATGATTGCAAGCATAAGATACTCCAGGCCAGATACCTTGAAACTGCACTGGAGGTATTGTTGTGTCTGGAATCTGTGTTAGCAAACTGATGTCCAGCAAATTAAGAAACTAACAGCTGTTGCTCCAGTTATGGAGACATGTTTGTTGACCATGTCAAATTGTGACCTAAATTATTGCAATCATTGTAATTTGTTTATTTATGAAATTGTTGACCTCAATGTTATCCTTGATGTATTATTCCAGCCCATATACAGGTACATTTGGTGGTCTTTTTAGACACTATCTTGTATTTAAAGAAGTATCTACTTCTGCATATATTTTTATTTTGCAGACTCGACAAAACAGAGAAAAGAGTGATGCACAGATGGATTATGTCACACAGAGGTCAGTTTTAAATAAATAGCATTTGACATAAAAAATGAAGACCACTTAGATAAATTTTGAATTTGACATGTTAACATTTTCCTGGTCATTGATTACCTGTTCAAGTGTCAATACCGAAAACTAGTGGTGTACAATGACACAAAATCAGCCATGTCACAGATACTCGCCACCTGATCACCATCTAACTTCAACAATTCCTGCGAATCCTTAACCTCTATTACATCATGGCCATAAATCCTGTATTTTGGCTGCAGACACTCTATTACTAAATCTTCAGATTTTCAACAGAAGTCCTCTTCACTGTCAACTACACACAACTAGTTGTTCCCCTAATAGCACATGAAGCTCTTCAGTTCTTCTGTGCAAAAAGGCATGAAAAACGTCCCTTCTTTCCTGTGTGTGCTAGAGGCAACACCTGTATTTTTGTTGTCATCTAGGCCCTTCAGAGATGATCTCTACACCTTTGACTCCTTCAACTGCCCAATCATCTTCGGGTTTTGAGACCAGCATGCTGGAGAGACGCTTCGCCCAACAACAGGCCTCCATCGAAGACATGATTAACACCCGTCTGGCGGCCATCAGTTCAGAGGTAGACCAGATGAAGAAGTGGCAGTCTCAGAAGTCTTCCCCAGCCAAGAGGCCAGACAGGGTTAAGCAATCGTCAAAACTTAGGTCATCAACGGAATCCAGCATGCCCCGAGTCTTGAGATGACCAGGGTACTGGCAAGAACGCCTTACCCCCTAGCCGACCAGCCGAGCTGTCGAAGAAACCGTATGGCTCCCGCATGGGCAGCACGGACAGTCACTATAGCAAGCCGGTCACCATGTGACTCCTAAACAGGCTTCCTGGGCATGGCTTGACAAGCCAGTGGTTCCCGCACGGACCATGACGGCACAAGGACAGGGCGCAGCCTTCACGTCACCAGGCCAGCCGTCCGGATCCTGTTATGCCAGACCCTCAGCCATCACATAGGCAGATTATACCGGAGTCATGGATCCCATTGGACAAGGACGATCTTGCTTATGTGCCCATGGAACCGGTTTGGACCGGCATTATCCTTTGTAGACATGATAGACGCTATATATCACTACATGCCGACCACGCAGCCACAGAATGAACAGTCGCCTCCTCCGGAGATGCCCGAGACACCATTAGCCATTTCCGTCTTAGTCATCCCACATCCACCGTACTATACTGTGGCCAAGTGGCCAAGGATCTTAGACCAAATGAACGACACGATGATCGGCTTCCACTCCCGACTATGCAGGAGAAGCTGTATCAAACGCATGCATCGCCTTTTTACTGGAGTCACAGCCACTGGATGACGAGTTCAGCAAGCTGAAAAACCCTAACACCAAACTCATGCTCCCGGCCAGCTGAGTTAAGGACTTAACTACAATTAACGAGTACTCCATGGATATTGGCACATATCTCAACTGGTTCATTGCCGGGATTCGACACGCGACGCCACCTCTGCCAACTTTTGCTGATGTGCCACCAGAAAAACTGATGCCCATCCGAACGAACCAAGTGGGACTCATCTACTGTCTGCTAGATGCGATTGTCCGCATGCAAGAGGATATGCTATCTACACAGGTCTGGACTGCCTCCCAGCTCTTATGGCTTCAACGTCAACTCCTGTCCCAAGTCAGATCGAGCATTGTTTCCCAACATGCCAAGCAGACGGTCATGTCACAGCCAGACATCACCGACGGTCTTAACAAGTTGGGCACGATCCTACATGAGGTCAGACAGGACACGACAGAAAGGTTTCAAGTGTCTACCATCAACCTGTCAGTCAAGGCACAGGGACCGCAGTACCCGCCTAAATGAGCACTATAACCAGCCAGGGATTTTTCTTTCCATGAACCTCTGCGAAAGAAGTTTATCCCATCAAGATAAGAATCCTACCAGGCATCCCAGCATCATGACAAGCCATCGTCAGACTGTTTTCGGAACTCAAGACTTCAAACGCCATGGTTCTGGCCGTAGAGGTCCATATGTCGCAGGGATAGAAGATGACTTGTTTCTCCCCCTCCAAGCGTTGCAGATCCTATTGAATTGGTTTTGTCTACAGATTACGATACACAACTTCCGCCATTCAACATTCTGCCGTCGCAGGGTCCAGTGGGAGGTCTTTTGTCATACACGGAAAATTGGATGCACATTACGACTGACCACTGGATTTTAGACTTTATCCATCATGGGTACAAGCTACACTTCCTCAAGCGCCCTCAACATGTATCCTGTCCAGAGGAACGCAGGTTTCACCTGAAAGATGCCAAACTGGACGTTGCCGATCTTGCCATCAAGACTCTCACCACCAAACGGGCCATTCGGAGATTATGGGATACCGACAAAACTTGGGGGTTCTACTCCCCGGTGTTTTTAGTACTAAAAAAGAATTCCACAGAGATGAGAATGTTAATAGACCTCAAAACTCTCAACAAGAAGTACTTGGTCCCGCCTCCAAGATTTCAGATGGAATCAGTCAGGTAACTACGTTCATCACTTGGAACAGGAGATTGGGTCATCAGCCATCAGTCATGAGGATGCATATTTTTCCTGTGCCAATCCTCCACATGTCACGAAATTACCTCCATTTTGCAGTTAACAACCATCGGCACGAGTTCCTGGTACTACCGTTTGCATATCAGTAGCTCCTTGGTTATTCACCAGAATAATGGTGCCAGTCATCAACTTTGTCTATTTACAGATGGCCGCCAATCAGGAACACACCCAGCTTCGTCAGGATGTGACATTCCTCACCCAACTCATGTCCTATCTCGGGTTCCTTATCCCTCCGACCAAGTCAGAGATTTATCCGGTACAAGAAAATGTCTACATCGGGGCCAGCTTCCTGCTACGCCCAGGACATCTTTGCCCCCGGAGGACCGGTTGCACAAGTCCATAGCCATGATCAACCCAGATGGTGGATGTCTCTCATCCACCACTGTCCTCTCTACAAGATATAACTCGAAGAGGACGATTACAATTACGCCCGCTACAGAATTGGATCAACTCCCTAGGACATAAGACCCTGGACAAGCGGGTACTCATACCTCTCCACGTGAGCCAAGATCTAAAGATCTTATCTCACACTACCAGCTCCCGAACACCACCTGCACACAGACACGCCAGATTCAGGTTGGGGAGCTTACATGGACGACCTCCAAGTTCAGGGTTTATGGACCGAGACGGAAACAGCTCTACACCTAAATTGCAGAGGGATGAAAGCAATCTATTGTGCTCTCCAGACTTGTAAAGATCGCCTCATCAAATCATCCATCCTGATTGCCACAGACAACATAACAGTGATGGATACATTCAGAAGCAAGCAACTACTCATTTATTTGCCTTGGCCGACTCATTCAGCTGCCGGATTGAAACGAGACATATTCCAGCCAAACTGAACATACTCGCGGACAGCATATCCCGAACAGGAGGGATTGTACCCACGGAGTGGACTCTTTACCAAGACATTTTTACCAAGATAACCTCCATTTGGGACGTCTTATCTCACACTACCAGCTCCCGAACACCACCTGCACACAGACGCGTCAGATTCAGGTTGGGGAGCTCACATGGACGACCTCCAAGTTCAGGGTTTATGGACCGAGACGGAAACAGCTCTACACCTTAATTGCAGAGAGATGAAAGCAATCTATTGTGCTCTCCAGACTTGTAAAGATCGCCTCATCAAATCATCAATCCTGATTGCCACAGACAACATTACAGTGATGGATACATTCAGAAGCAAGCCAAACTGAACATACTCGCGGACAGCCTATCCCGAACAGGGAGGATTGTACCAACGGAGTGGACTCTTCACCCAGACGTTTTTACCAGGATAACCTCTGTTTGGGACACCCTGCATCTGGACCTCTTTGCGACCTGTCGCAACCACCAACTTCCGGTCTACGTCAGCCCGGTCCCAGATCCGAGAGCTCTCCAGATAGATGCACTCTCCATGGATTGGATAGGAATGTTTTTGTATGCGTTCCCACCATGGTCTCTCCTAGACAAGGTCACAGATTGTCACAGATTGCACAGTCATCCTCATCGCTCCAACTTGGTCATGCAGGATCGTCATCAACCTAACTTTATGACAACAGATGGAACAAATTCGTCCACCGGAGACCCAGATGTGGTCTAATTAATGTCACAGTGGACTTTCCAAAAGGATATAGATCCGCCTTCCATTCCATTCTCCAGCTTGATGGATTAATGATCGGAACACATCCAGTACTTAACAGACTCATGCGATCATTCAGCCTAGAGGATATTCACATTCTCCGGATCTTCCCAAAATGGGATTTATCAGTCGTCCTGTCTGCCTTACTAGCCGCTCCATACGAACCTCTTGGAAACGCTACCCTTCTACAATAATCCCATAAAGCAGCATTTTTACAAGCCATGGCTACCACAGCTAGAGTTTCTGAACTCCACGCTCTCGACTATTCCAGTCTCACTCACACTCCCAACTGGACCTTGCGGTCTCTACCAGACTTTATAGCCATAAAGACACTATACTATTCCTACAGTGGATCATCCCGAAAGCCTCCTTTGTCCAAAACGAGCTCTCAGGTTCTATCTGACAACTACTGATCCACATCGCTGAAGTCAAAGACCTCTATTTATCTCGTGCAAGATCCACTCAGATAAAGATATCACTAAAGCTTTGGTCGCTGGATGGCTTAAAATGACCACAGCAACGATTTATCGGCAAGCACATGATACTCCTCCAACTATGAGTTCTAGCTCTGCCCACGAAATTCGAACTTTGGCAACTAATCTGGCATCCTCATCATCCATATCCTTCAAGCAAATTGTAGCAGGATGCCAATGGGGATCGCACAATACTTTCACTTGTTTTTACTTGCGAGACATCCAGCCAGACTTGACAGGGATTCATTTGTTGGGACCTTTTACCTTGACTTACTAGAATGGTACGTAAGGAATTCAAGGATAACCTGTTTTAGAACAGCTGATACACAGA